TGATGCTTTGTGTGTTGGGGCATCTCTGTTTGGCAAGAACCACACAGTTTTCCGCTGATCACGATTTTTATTATAGCACTCGCACCAAGATCCTGCAAGTTTCCAATCGCAACCTTGCCATCCCCAATCTTCAAATGTGTTTGGGTATGCAGTTAACTTAGAGTCACCTGCACCTTCTTTCACTTTCTTGTAATGGACACACGTTGGACCACGGCAGGAGCACCAAATAGGTTTGTAGTGGCAGTCATCGCTATTGTGGCAGCCCTCTTTTGCCAGGGTACACTCGAATTCTGGATACTCCTCGCTGGAGCTACTGGTGTGGTCAAATTTTTGTATGGCAAGTCCAGAGCTACTTATGTATGGACAACCATAATTCAAGAACCCAAGGTAGTAGTACTCAAGGTTTGTGGCTCGGATATTGTTAGGAGATCCATGCTTAAATCGGCTCTGCAGGATGGTCCAGATCGCCATGAAGGTGTGCTGAACAGACGCGGGAAATTCATCTGCCTCATTCATGAGTTGGTCAAGCAATTCAACCGACGTCGCCCCGTTTGCCAGCTTGCTATTTGTTTCCCTTTTTCCACCTTTGACAAAGCGTTTCTCGCTTGTGCTCATACTGCTCGCTTTGGATATCTCACTTTGGCTTACGTTTGAACATGCAGAGACGCCAACCTTTCCAACCTGGGTAGGTCCTGCGACCGAAACGCAAGCTTTTACTTGGAAATCTCTTTCAGTGTAAGCCTTAGAGCTCTCTGCGAATGTCATTTGCTGAAATCTTGATCCACGCTTCACAGATGTTATGGCATGAGAACCGTATTCCTTGAGAAAATTACGATACTCTCTCCATGAGTTTGGTTCCCAGGGATTTTCGATGTTTACGGGCAAGTCCTCGAGGTCATTTAGAAATGTTCTTTTGAAGGTGGAGATGTCGTCACTCGTTAGACATTCTTTATCGACGTGGATCTTTTCTGTTAACGCCTGCTTGATTAAAGACATGCCACTCACTTCACTTTGCTGTGAACTTTTGCTCTTTGTTGCTACTGATACCGTCACACCCAACGAGTAGGAGGACTGCAAAGAGGCGCTCAAGCTTGACTGGGTGGCAAGTGACTTATAAAATTCCTTGGTATTTGCGTAATATTCGAAGTGGCTGCTCGAAGACTTCAAAGTTTTCTTCACGAGACATTTGGAGGGGAGCTCCTCAAAGATCCTGTTCTCATGCTCCTGAAAGTCGGCCAATAAGTTGACCTTTCGAAGATCTATCACTCTTCCCAGCGCAGAATTCTCAGCGCTGGTAGCTTCACATGTTTCTTTAAATGTACATAACCCAAGAACGAGAAGCACCAAAGGGACATGCATCATTCTGCTTTCCGAAGTACAATCTACGGGAAAAATGTTGCGCAATTACTTTGGAAATTGACCACAGAACAGAACCGAAACGTTTTAACGTGTTTAACATGAGGCGATAAAGGAAATGTTTTAATGAATATATAAAATTTCAGTTAAACCGTTTTTTTCCAGATTCGAGAAACAAATAATAAGCTGGCATTTTAATTCGATATTTAAAACTGAGAAACTCAGTTGATTCATCTAGATATTGCCGTTTAGTTAGACACTTTTAAACTGGGCCATCTATTTTAAACAACATTGAAGGATCTTGGCGCTCTGAGATATTCTTCTTATACATGAATAAGCACGCTCAAGATTGGAGACCAGTCAAAAATGGTTGTTTGTTGTCGTATTTTTTTGGACGTATTTGCTTGCTTGTTTAATTAAAGAAACCCCATTTTCCATGTGCAAACCTCGTGGTAGGGCTAGACCTTGAACTTAAGCACCATGCCATCATAATAGCCACAAAGAATGAATGACATAAGAATTAAAATCAATTCAACTCTTACTCTTACTTAACTTTATTATTTTTGAAAGTGAAAGATATGATAGTAAAGGGGGGTCAAATTTCAGTTTACTGACATCAATGAATTGCAACTGGTGATCATTTGCTCTTAACAAGGATCCTTCGGCAGTAACCTGGATTTAATGGTAAGTTAAAGATACAACTTAAAAAGTATGTCAAATTTGTTTATGTTACATGAAAGACGTCCTCTAAACAGGTATTGGATGACTTGTAATGAGTTTCAACCTGTGCTAAAAGCTCAACAATCCTCTGTGTTAAGACTGAGGCAGACTCATCAGATAGAAGTATGTTGGATGAAGGCCCTTCCCTATTAAAGACTTAATGATGATCATTCTTACGATAATTGAATAACACAAGGGTATCCAAAACAAAAACACACCCTCACGTG